TCTTCTTCTTCTTCTTCTTCTTCTTCTTCTTCTTCTTCTTCTTCCTCCTCCTCCTCTTCTCTCTCTCTCTCTCTCTCTCTCTCTCTCTCTCACACACACACACACACACACACAATTTATTCTCATGAATCTTGGAAGGATTAGATTACAATAAGAAAGAAAGTGGTCTGCTCATGTTTACCCAGCCAGATTCATGTCTGAAGGATTTTAAATGTGGGTTTCTCCCCAATGAACCACAATATATCATTCTTAAAGCAGTTATGTGTAGGATTTTAAGTCCTGTCGTTCTCAGATCGTGGTGGAAAAGAATTCTGGTCTGGCCAGAATGACCTTGCCTGTCCTGCACCAAATTGTGCCATGTTCCCCTGCAGACCAAGATAATCCTTTGTGTTGCAGATTGTCCTGAAGTAATCCTTTACCCATTGATCCTTTGCTCTAAGGATCACCCTGGCTGGAAGTGGTGTATGGCAAGGTGTAGCATGAAAGATTGGCTTAGTCAGCAGGGTAGCGGCACATATCCACCTTCCCATAGTACTTTCCTGTGTGGCCAGGATAGTGTTCCCAGTAGAAAAGAGGGAGCCAAAATAAAGGTTAATTGGGGGCAGCAGGTGCCAGGAAGCAGGGGCAGGCAAACAAGTGCTGCAGGTTATGCACACAGGAAAATGTGTGCCTTGCTGCATGCCCTTGCCACTGAGAATGAGCCTTCACACTGTGGATTGTCTCACTGATCCTTTTTTCTTGATCCTTCATACTAAAGATTGTCCCAGCCAGGAGGAGCATGCAGTCAGGACTATCCTAGCTGTCAGTGGTGCATGGTAGACGGAAGTCGCAGTGGGTAGTAGGTGGCCAAAAGGGCAGAGATGAGAGGGAGATAGGTGGATTGGGGGGGGGGGGACTGAAATAGTTCCCTACCTTGGAAGGACCAAGGCTCAGGAATGGGAGGGACACTGCCAGGAACAGCTCGGATCAGGTTGGGTCCTTATGTAATGACCAAGCAGGATTCATAGCCAAAGGAACTGCCAAAACTACTGTGGGGCAGTTATGAGACATTGCTTTGATTAGGAATGAAGTTGTTGGTCGTTATTATGGGAATTAGGGGCCAATTAAACCAGGACTGACTACCTTTTATATCAAACTAAAATATGGCTTTAAGTTCCTAACAAGCTCTCTAAGCCCTGAAAAAAGCCATACTTATTATGCACATTTTAAGTGTCTCTCTACCATTCCCGTATTGCTGCCTTGTGTTAGTGTTAAATTAAATTATTAGTGTCCACAGTTATACCCTTGTTTTGAGTTTTAATATCTGTCATTATAAACATGAAACAACAAAACGGAGTGGCAAAGAGAACCATCATGGGTGAAAGGTATAGGATGATACTAGCAGTTATAGAAATACCTTGGCTGATTGTCAGCGATCCATTTTCCTGTGAAAATCAAGCGTTGTTGCCGTATACGGCGATGCTGCCCTTCTTTGTCTCCAGTAATTCCCTGATGGCCTTTAGAAAAATCCAAGTTCCTGATCGTTGACAAAAATAAAAATGGGATGTTCAGATTATGAATCAGGAATAAGAGGAGTACATGTTTGTCTAACATGTAGAGGTCTGATTAGTTATCTAAAGTTTCCCTTTAAATGAGAAAGCAATTACACAGAATTTGCAGGTGGCAGAGAAAGAAAGAGTCCCATTTTAAGGAAGTTTTACTATTCTGTTTCAGATAAATACTTGCACAATGTTTATGTATTTTGTATCAAGCTTTATTATTCTTGCTGCAATTGTCTTCAATTAATTTTCCACCTTAACTTTCAAATATAAAAGCAAATAATAGCAGAATCAATTTCAGAATAGAAAAGTACTGTGGATATGTTTACAGGCTCAGATCTGCTAAGCTTCCCCGCCCCCTGGATTTACCTAGGGAAATTAATTTATAGCAGTAACAGTTATCTTGTACAGTATTAGACCAAAAGATCTATTAGGTTAAAGAGCAGAAATCCTTTTCAGTGAAAAACAAGAATAGGTTATCCTTTTCCCCCCTCTCACACCACTTTCCCTAGAGGTTTCCAAAGATATTAAACTTTAAATACGCAAAAATTAAACTGAAATTTAAGGAAACCAGAATTGGAATTTTAATCCCAATGATTCTGTAATAATGTATTACACAAAATAATGAAGATGTACACAATTTTGTAGCGTGGCAATAACTACAAAGAGCTTAGAAAACAGTGGATATTAATGCTGTTTGAATAACACAGATGAGTATCATTTATCTATAATAATCACTCACCTGAACGAGGGTCTCAAAGCTAAGAATCCCTGCAGCTCAAACTCTTCTGGAAGAGGGGTGGCTGGTGAATGAAACAAAGGAATATGCACATCTTTATTCAAGTCTACTTCTCATTAGTAAGCAAGGATCTGATCCAATAAATATCAAGTACTTTTTAAGTTACAGGTAGTCCTCAATTTAAATTCATACATTCAGCGACCATGTGAAGTTACAACAGTACTGAATGGATTTATGACTTGTCCCTGAAGTTACAGACATTGCAGTGCTCTCATGATCCAAATTTGGGCACTTGACATCTGCCTACACTTACAGCTGCAGCGATGTTTCAACTCTCCCTTTATTTATTTCCCCCTTATATGTGCCTTTTAGACACCTTGTACTCTGAGGTTCCTGTGGCCTTAATTGACTGCCAACTTCTTGCTCCCGGTCTGACCAAACATGCCTAGCATGGCCCTTGTGAGGCAATGATGACTATGTAAAACATTTTTCCCAGATTGCACACAGAAGATTCATCAAAAGACCTGGGCAAGATGGTCCCAGGAGGTTAGCAGCTGCCTTGCAAAGGCCAGGATGGACACACCACATAGCAGCTAGATGAAGGTTAACTGGAATAGTTGACCATGTTGAGGGCAACCTAGGTCCTAAGAGTGCAGGGCAGTGAATGTGGCTGGGCTGTGGCAGATGGAGCTTCATGGGGTGACTAAGGTTTTGCCTTGCACTGCTGGATTTGCACCCTGCAACTGGGCTGCGGCTTCGTGTTGTGCTACTCAACTGCGGTGCCATGCTTTTAGGGCTTCCATGGACAGCTGGAGCTTCCCAGGACAGTTCTGGCTTTGTGCCACACTGAGGCTGCACACTATGCTAGTGAGGCTTCCTGGGGATTTTTGATGAGCTTCAAAGGCTTCATACAGGGCAAGCAGTCCCAGAGTCATGAAGGGTTATTTGCCACCTCGCCAGCCAGGGTGCAACACTGGCAAAAGAGCAGAGATGGGACAGGTGGTAGTAAGGAAGGGGGAATTGATGAGGAAACAGTCTCTCACTGCTCTGGGCTGGGAGGGACCAAGCCTGGAATGGCATAGCTTAGGGCAGGCCCTTGGCTAACAACTGGTGGAATTTGCTTAATGATGACAATGGGGAGTGCTCTTGCTAACTGAAGTAGTTATATCACCTTGACCTTTACACCTCAATAACTTATCACTAGATATTCCTGTCCTAATTGTGGTTATAGAATACAACTACAATTCGAACCGGAAATTCAGTCATAAGTTGGTGTGGTTCTAAGTCAAGGAACAGGGCCCATTTTAAAAAACATTTTTTTGCAGCGATTGTTAAATGAATCACCATAGCAGTTAAAGCAAATCATGAAATTGTTAAGCAAAACCATTCTTCCGAATGTTGCAAATTACAATCATGTGCCTGCAGGAGGCTACAGTCGGTCGTAAAGGCGACCAGTTGCCAAGAGCCAAACTGACATTATATGGTGCCTGTACAGCACCTATCCCAAGGCCATTTTAATTTTGAATGGAAATGGTAATAAATTGAAAACCACTTGTAGTTAGAATGTATTAAAATTTTAATCCAAAAGAGAACAGATGCAATTATTCCTGAAAGCAAAATTAATAAGGAAATTCATAATTAAGATTGCACAGAATATTCTTCAGCTTCAGTAACCATTCTGAGAAATTCTATATTTGTCACATCTCTGAATATTCCTATTATCATTTATTTTCATCTGCTGATTTTGACCTTTTTTTTTTTCCTTTTGTCTTATTTGGACCGCTTCTTGTGGTCTGCACTTACCAATCATTTGACTGATTGTTGCAATCTATATGATTTTTTACAAGTCATGATAGCATTGAAGGACAAATATAAAACTGTAAATGAATTGTATCATTAGTGACACCGCAGAGCAGTTAGGGCAAATAAAATGATGCAGGCTGATGGCATAGAATAGAATCTACATAATTTAATGGCTACTTAGAAGGTACTTCTCAGAATCAATGAAGTCAATATGAGCTAAATAGTTTTGATTCAACTTAAATGTATACACAAGTTCATCAGTGTCTTCCTACTACATTGTTCTTGACTTCACTCTGCTCTTATCTTCTTTGGACTATGTCATAAGGGAATGTTCTTACCATTAGGGCAGGAGAGGTCTTCTTCATGAGGCTGAAAACTGTTTAGAAGAGAAATCAGCCAAGGCCAAACACTGCAAAGCAAAAAGAGTTTTACTTACATAACACATTGCACTCTCACTATTGTCTCTTCCGTTACATACCTTGCCCTTACTGCATCAAATGCCCCATTTCTTATCAGATCTCTTCTGATATAATCTATAAAAACTATTTCTATCCAAGATCCTTTTCTGAAAATTCCAGTAATTATCTTGCTGTCTGTCAGTACAATTTTCAACTGGTATGTCTGCAGTATCATTTAAATAACACAGTCACACATTATCCTATGGGTTCAAATACACAGGCATTGCTTAATGCCACTGTAAAACAATGTCTTACAATCGTATTTTATTTCGATCCTGAAGTAACTACTTGGTTTTTCCTCTATACAACACAAATGGATGAAGAATTGGGAGGATGCCTATTTATCCCATTTTGGGAAATTTCTTAGTTGTTCCTTTCTGTAGACTCTTTTAAGTCAGTTTTTAAGGAATACTGATAGAAGCTCTGACTTTTTCACTATTGGGCACAATCACTCAGACCTAAAAAGCTCAGACCCACAGCTCTTGACTTCTTGTCTAATCCAAAACCTTCTCACAAATATTTGCTTCATCCTTGTGGGAACAAGAGTGCTGTAGTATATTTATGATCTAGAGAGGTTTTTACTTTTCACATAATTTTCTCCATTAGCTTTAACTAATCTAACATGGCTAGGTTAGTTTTACATGGCTTTAGCTTCCATTTTCTCTCTTGCTTGGATTTAGCCAGTCTTGTGCATTTTTTTTCAAATGTGGATGCTGAAAGTCCCTACTCCATGTTAAGTGAAGAGAATGGAACAAAAAGGTAAAACTTCACAGTGGCTGTTCCATTCTGAAGAAGAATATGCCCCAAAGTATACAGAGTCCTCAACTCATTAGTTTCTAGAAGGCTATGAAGGGCATTTTATTCCAGCAAATGTTTGATAGATAAGGGCAATGCTGGGCCACCATTTTGACAGATTTTGCTGTTGGCTATATATTTGTTTTAAGTATATTCTTAATTGTTTACATGGGATTTTACATGGGATTTTGTTTAAAGTATGTGGTTTAATGTCAGGTGTACCATGAAAGTAGGGAGTGCATAAATTGATGTATATATTTAAAAAGTTATTCAAAAACCATGTGTACATCTAGATTTTTAATGGCAAAGGATTATTCCAGGCTTAACAAAAAAGTGGCCATTTTTAAAGTCACACAAGAGTGTATTTGTGACTTATGCCCTAACTGTCAACCTTATTTCATTTTCCTCTTTAAGTCTGTCCAGAAAGGAGAAAGAATAACAGGGTAACTTGTTACCTGACAGGAAAATAAAAGAACATGCTCTAATGTCTTTTATTTTACCATTTACAATCAGACATGCACTATTAACACACACTGTTGATATCCTTCGATTCCAGATTTCCCAGATTTCCAGACTATATACATTCCTCTATTGTAAAACACTTGAACTATTGAGTTGAATTTATAATATAATAAGTATAATTAATATTATATCTATCATATTATAAATATAATATCTGTTAACAAGAACTACTCACATTAAGCAATCAGCTTCTAATTTAAAATCCTTTTTTATTCAAGCTGTAAGATCCAAATACCAGGGAGTTCAGAGCAGTGCAACTGAGTGACTGGTGAAAAACTCAGGGATTCAATTAGACACAAGGAATGCCTTATGCAAATCTCTGTGCCTCTTGTTTTATCCAGCTGTTCTAAAAACAAAACCCCATGCATTTGAAGGTAACACTAAGTGGAAACACTGTCAAAAAGCTAAAAAGGCCCATGTGTACAATCTGGAGTAGGGGAAATGCTACTTTTCTTAAATTGAAAAGAAATACAACTGCTTCTAGTCTGAAGCAGACTCCCACAGAGTTGACAGCAATTACTGCCAACTTTCATAAGTAAGGTAGCAAATAATCTTAAAATAGAAAGATTTTCTGACTCTTCTGGAAGGTAATTGAATTTTTATATCTGAAGATGCCTGTTTGCAAATTACACCTAAATTAGCATTGAAAGCAGTTTCAGTATCAAGAGGTTTGGGTACAGGAATTTCCTTCTGTGAACAGGAAAGTGATGAAGCAGATTAGGTATAAGATATCAAAGAACTGTTCTTGACCTTGAAATTAAAATAACCTTTTTATGGGTCAACAAGGAATTCACTCGTTTTACGTGAGGATAATGCAGCCGTCTAATAATAGGATAATGCAAACTTAAACATTTGTGAACTCATTTGAATTTTAATTATTTTTGCATAAATATGGGCTAAAACAAGATCAGTTCTCCACAGTTCTTCAAACTAGATACAGAACAGATAACAGATAACAGATAATCAGAGTTGGAAGGGACCTTGCAGGTCATCTAGTCCAACCCCCTGCCGCCCAAGCGGGAGACCCTAAACCATTTCTGACAAATGGCAGTCCAATCTCTTCTTTAAAGTCTCAAGTGATGGTGCTCCCTGTTAGGGTTTGAGGATTAACCCCTAGCAGAGTATTGCAGCAGTAGTCAAGCCAGGCAGCCAAAGGAGAGCGGAAGGGCCCCAGAGTATACACACACTGAACACAAACACTGTTTGTAGTTTAAATAGTTTTTAATCCAGTTAGAGTTTAAGCATTGTCATTCAGTCCATTAATTCATTCACAGTATTTCCATCCAGTAAGACTCACTAGTATAGTCCAAGTTAAGAGTCCTTGCAATATCTTTATCAGCCGATAAAGATATCTTCTCCTCCTCCGGTTTCACTCTCCAGAGAAACAAACGCTGGATATTCAGCAAACAGTAGCAAACAATAACAGTTCAGTCACAGGCACTCACAGTCAGTAATCACAGTTAGTCGCAGCAAGACACAGTAAGTCGCAGCAGCACTCAGTTACAGTAGCACACAGTTACAGCCAGTTCACAGTCAGAGACAGTTATCTTTCCAGCTTCTAATGCTTCCTTATATTGTAACTTCTAACAGCACCCTTAATCGGCTAATTGCCTGCTGCATTGTGCTTAAAGTGATAAGCACTTAAACCATGATATCTAAGTTTTATATATTTATTCACCCAAACCATATTTGGTATCAATGTTATACCTAACATACTCCCCTTTTGGGTGAAATAAATATATAATACCTTTACAATCTAATCCCATATTTTTCACAACTCTCCTGGTGCTTACTGGCACCTTGGGCTTTAGTAAAATTATCAGCTAAATTGTCCTCCGACATACAGTACTCTAGCTGAATCATCTTACTTCTTACAGATTGTCTCACGTTTAGGTATCTTAGATCTGTATGCTTGCTCCTTGTTTTTACTCCAATATTTGTGGCCATTTGAATTGCTGCCTGATTATCTTCATGAATAATTATAGGATAATCTACAGTTATACCTATATCAATTAACATTTGTTTATACATTATTAATTCTGTACATAACAAAGATAAACAGGAGAATTCTGCCTCCATAGTAGACAAACTTATATGCTGTTGTCTTATTGACTTCCAGCCTATTAATGTATTACCCAGCATTATGGCTGTTCCTGAAGTCGACTTTCTAGTGTCTCTTTCTGATGCAAAGCTAGCATCTGCATAAGCACTCAAAATTAAATCACCCTTTGGTTCTAAATACAATGAATAATTCATTGTCTTTTTAAGATATCTTAATATCCTCTTAGCTGCATTCCAGTGTCTTTCACATGGTGCAGAATTGAATCTAGCCAACTGATTCACGCAGTACGATATATCTGGTCTAGACCAATTACTAATATAACTCAAACTACCAATTAAAGATTGATAAATCACCTTATCAAACTCAGGGCTTTGTACAACAGTGTTGCTAAACTCCTGACTCATTGGAGTCTTAGCCGGCTTACAAAGCTCCATCTTGTAATCTTTTAGCAATTTGCTTATCTTATCTTCCTGAGATATCTTAAAACCTTTCCGTGTTTTCTTTATATTCAAACCGAGATACTTCTTTATCTCCCCTAATTGCTTGATCTTTATTCTCTTTCCTAATGATGCTATTATTTTATTTGCTTCATCATTAGTTTCAGTTATCAATGCAATGTCATCTGTGAATAGTAATAATAATGATACTTTCCCATTTGTCTCCCTCTTAAACAGACATGGATCGGCTAAACCAGCTTTAAATCCTATATTGTCTAGTTCCTTTACAATATACTGGTTCCATTCATAGCCTGATTGTTTAAGACCATAGAGGCTTTTCTTTAACAACCAACAATCATTATTATCCTTATTTTCACTTTTAATACCAACAGGTTTTTTCATATAAATAATATGTTTTAATGGGGCGTGCAAGTAAGCAGTTTCCACATCTAGATGGTTAACTATATAGTTTTTACTAGCTGCCCACACTAAAGCTGCCCTCAAGGTTGCTGCCTTAAGACTAGGTGCAAACACCTCATCATAGTCATTAGCATTCTGCCTAAAACCTTGGGCTACTAACCTTGCCTTATGGATTAAATTACCATCCTTATCTATTTTTACCTTAAATATCCATTTGCAGCCAATGGATTTCTTTCCTACAGGTAATTTGGCATTTTCATACACCTTCATATCACTTAATGAATTTAGTTCCTTATTCATTGCTGCATACCATTTTTCTTTTTCTTTAGTAGGATACTTTTTAATTTCTTCTACAGAATTAGGAACTTGATTAATCTGGCACACTGTGTTAGCCTGGTACCTATCAGGCGGTCTAGATACACGTGTTGTTCTTCTGGGAATTACAGGGCTTACAGGAGGACTTTGTTGAACTACTACCTGTTCATCTTCCTCATCCTGTTCAGCTATTGAATCTGTTTCTTCCTTTATGGGCACTATTTCATCCTGTATTTGTCTCTTTACTTTATTTTTAAAGTTACAGGGATAACTAATGGGATTTCTATAGGATTCAATAATTACATCTTTATTGGCATCCTGTTCTAATTTCTCCCATCCTTCATGTTCTAGAAATTGGGCACTAGCACTACATAACACTTTAGATGTGCCTTTCTCCCAAAATCTATATGCCCTATGGTTTG